TTATTCCTGTGTCCGAGATTATTGTGGGTCGAATAGTGACTTTCTTTATTTTCCAGAGATTTTTTTTTAATTTCGTCAGCTAAGTCTTTGTATTTTATAATTTTTGTACTGAATGTAGTACTAATATTGTTAGTGAGTGGAATTACGATATCAATTATGTGAACTTCTTTTCTTTTGTCCAACAGTAGAATATCAGGACGATTTGCTGTGATAATGATATCAGATTCACAATATAGTTTTATGTGGTTGTTTTCAATGATACTTTGGGCGGTGATAGATGGTAGCTGGCAAGAGTATGTGGCAAGTCTGAGTAGCTAGCCGATACCAAAGAAAATAGAAAACTAATACGAGAAAGTCTATGCCATTCTGTAAGGCCACTAGTTTCAACATTTTTGGACAAACATTTTTACTTTCCCGTATACAGACGTAAATACGGAGTAAAAAATCGTAGTATAGGGAAAATTATGTAATGCTGCCAAAAAACGGCGGATTTTCTACAGAAAAACAATCATTGTCGGGTCCTGACAACGAAAAAGTGGATAAATTCAGTTGCTAAATTAATAAAAAAATCCTCTAACACTTGGAGTCGGCAGAATCCCTGTTTTGTGAGTCCTTGTTACCGAAAAATCAATTGACGGCAAAACGTCCTCTTTCCTCTGTGAACACTACTAGCGACTAAACCATGGGTAGGATTTTCTCTAAAGTGAAAAATACCCTGTCCATCTGGTTCGAGTCGAAGCTTTGAGATTTTGAAAAACATTCTTTAAAATTTGGGGGTATTTTACATAAAGTCCCTCGGACATTTTCAAAATTTTCTCAAAAACGGCTCTAAATGTTTTCCTTAAATTTTTTGTAAGAATAGAGTAACATACCTATAAAGGTGACATATATATTTTTTTGCACGGTTAACTCTAAATTTTCGAAAATTTCAAAATCATGATTTTTGTCGGCGTCTTTCTGAAACTACAAAATTGAAGATAGAGGTTGTTTCTTCAAATTAAATTTGAAGTCCGTAATTAGTTATCTCATTAAAGTCACGTAAATTTTCTACTACAATATTTTAGTAGTTTTCGCGCAATATTGAGTGCAATATTAACAATTTTAAAAAAATTACAAAAACAAGCTTTTTTCAAAAACTGGCTCCAATTTTTTTTTTAAACTTTTGGTAGGGGTGGTGCTAAATGTATTCCATGAGATGACATAAACGAAGCTATGAAACGTCATATTCCTCTATTCTTTTGTTTCTTCAAAAATTACAAAAATGTCCCTTTTTGACGTGTCTCACGCGTTGTTAATATTAATATTAGTGGCGATTTTTCCCATTATATTTATGAATACATGTGCATTAAATAATGTCGTATACAGTTTCTCGAAAACTCAATTATTTTATGTTAAAACTCTCTCAAAATTTCGCATTTTAGAAACGTTCAAACACTATTTTCTCAAAAACGGCTCCAATTTTTTCCTTCAAACTGTTAGAAAGGATAGTGCTAATTGCACTGTTTAATATGATGGAAAGTTCATTTTAGTTTTTTTGTTATTTCTAAAATTGTACAAATATAATTTTTAGGAAGATATCTCACGCCTTTAATATGCACATTTCCAGAAATTTGTAAACATTGTTGCATTTGTGAGTTAATGTTCGTTAAATAACTTCTAATAAAGTTTTTCGAAAACAAACATTTTCTGTGAAAAAGAGCTTTAAATTTTCAATTTACAGTACTACTTAAACGGCTCCAAATTGTTCAAGGAAAATTGCCATTTAGGAACAGTTTTTATTGTTATTTAATATTAATAAAACAATATTTTCGTTCTACTATTAGGGAACCGGAAAAAAGATAAAATTTCAAAAAAATGAGCATTGGGCGGCGTTAGATGGCAACTGGCTAGAGTATGCGGCTAGTCCGAATAGCTAGCCGAACGAAATAGAAAACTAATAATAATAATAATAATAATAATAATAATAATAATAATAATAATAATAATAATATTTATTGAGTCACATATACAATTACAATCGTGTATGACGAGTCAATATGATGCCTTGGGTGGAGAGAGCGAAGTTATATTACTGTTCAGGAGCAAACAAGGGGCCATCTCAGCATTTGCTCAAAGGAAACTGAACAAAACCTTATCGAGATGGGGTCATTGGCCTAGAAATACAGGAAATACGGGAAAATCTGCCATTTATAGTACACTAGTTTAAAGTTTTAATTATTAATGAATGTTTATATAAATATGTCATTTTATTGTCAATACTATAATGGATGTATCCTATGAATCTTAATAAAGTACGGAAAAAATAGCCATAGGTGATTGCATACTGTGTCAAAGGGGGTCATGGCTCATACGCACTCGGATTTTAAATAAGCATTGAAGGGACTTCCAGACGTTCTAGAAGAAAAATGTTGATATATTTGTAAATAGCAAGGTTTGAGCTATTTATTTAGCAAAAAAAAAAAACAAAAAACAATCGCTCATTTGACCCATTTCATGGTAGCCTCTCCCCTTAAACTTACTTAGTTCAAAAATTAGGTCGGTAAGGGCCTTTTTTTACCATATTGAAGAACAGAGATTTTGCTTTCATTTAAAGAATTTCTGAGAGGTTCTTCTCTGTGGTCGATCTAACAAATGTCGAATATACTATCTTAAGGGACTCTTGATCGACATTAGTACGGTCATTGCACGTTCTGCCGAAAGTGCTGGATCATTCTTGAAAACGCCCAGCGCCCTAGCATGAGTGGCACTTCCTAGCGCGTTTGTCCCTGTATAAAGAGCCTTTTAGAATTGGTGGTGGTACAGAGGAGCTGCCCAAAATCTCCACTAACTTGGCATATGTCTTGTCCTATTGGACATGGAATTGAATATTTCTTTTGAGTTCACTTCCCACCTCAACGAGCTCTTGAACTACATTCGTCTGAGAAGTAACCCAGGTTCCTATCCAAGTTGAAATGTTTCCCTTCCAGTGAGTCTTAGCATCAAGTGTGGCCCTGTTAAGACCGTTTCAGAAGTTACGTCTCCGGATGTCATAGCAGCCGGGAACTTAACTAAAGTTTGGTTCCGCCCTAACCGACCAGCGGAGTCGGAACAGGTCGTGTCATGGCCAACCTCAACTAAAGTAGTAGTGGAGTACTTAGTAAAGAATGGCAGAGGCCGTGTCAATAACACGTAAAACAGAATCAAAGAGGACGGACACAGCCAGAAGCTCCTGATTCGACTCAAACTATAGCGGCCTCGTTAGGGGATCGCACCCTAGTAGAAGGTCTAGCTGAATTTTCGGATCATCAGATGGGGACGATGATGTTTCTGTAGTCCCAGTAGTAGTCCTGTAGTAGTAGTTCTGTAGTCCCAGTAGTAGCTTCAGCTTCATTGGGTCTTAAATATCTTCGATATGTAGTCTCCTTTTTTTCTTTTCTTCCACACTTGTCGGGCGGTGCTGTAAGGTTGGGGGGGGGGGTTGCCGTTTACCCCTCCCTGCCTTACAATACTTTTTCTATGCTGCGAGGACAGAAGGTGCGAAAGTAATTGTATTCCTTTTTTATAAAAAAAATGAAAAGTGTCACGGTCTTTATGTGAAGTATCCCCAAAAAATAAAAAATCCATTACAAATTCATGGAGCAGCGGCATCAGTCCATTCGAGAAGAAAATACCCATTTTGGGGAAAATCCTATGTAGAATCAGTGCTAATGTTGACGGGCGGACAGTTGTCTTGGAAATAAATAAATAAATAAATAAATAAATAAATAAATAAATAAATAAATAAATAAATAAATAAATAAAATAAACAAACAAATAAATAAAAAAACTTTTTAGATATGAGGAACTTCCAAAATGTGCTGCAATGTTGTTAAAATCTAATCGTTTTGCTTTTTAATTTACTATTTTTATATCATTGTAATACTTTTTCTATTTCTACACGTCGTATACGTGAAAGTAAAAAAATAGTCGAAATAGTTTCTCTTCCTGATATTACATCTCTTTTGTAGAGTAATTAATGAGGGGAAATCAGGTTTTAATGATTAATTATAATATAAAGAATATAATATTTATAATACATTATTATTATTATTATTATTATTATTATTATTATTATTATTATTATTATTATTATTATTATTACACTCCCTTGTTGAGACAAAACAAAGGTGTTTAAATGTATGTATTTAATGATAAAAGGTCAAATATTAATGTTTGTAAACTATTTTAAAAGGCATTAAAATTGAACAGTATAATTTTTCAGGACACACGAAACTCAAATTTACATTTGTTAGTCTATTGCCAAGTCACTGACCTTCAGCCATTCTGTTCTGACAATAAAGTGAAAAGCAAATGGTCACTTTTCGTTTTCCAGCTGATATCGGAGATAAGTTATAGTCAATTCTAGAAATGGGCATCATGAGTCATGACAATAGATATGTATAAACAGTGTTGCCAATGTTAAGAGTATACGTAAACGTACAATATTGGTATGTTTTCTTTCCTTACAGACAATCGACAAATCTTACATAAAACATTACATTAAGCCAAATATTGCAGACAGGCGGAATTCAATAAACTTTGTGATGTTAGTGCAGTGGTACTTCCTATGTCAATTCTCAGTGCTCTCAACTGTGTTTAGAAACAGCTTTCCAGTAGTGGTATTTTGTTTTCAGAGCAATTCTATTAGAGAATTGGAATTATTACTTTTATACTTTATCTTATGACTCATTCGTGACCAATGATTGTAAGTAATCTTTGAACTTAAAAAATGTTTTCGAGTATCAGCTCCTCACTGCGCCTGACTCTGTACAAATTCACAGGAGCTGGGAACGTGATATTTGGAATGCAGTCTTTGTGTTCGTGCACAACTTTCACGTTTTCGCTATAGCGAAGTTTCACCACATGAAGCAGGTGGAGTTGTGAATTGATCGAGAAGCAATATTAGAATCAAGATCGTTGAACGACTGGATATAAATATTGTGATATAAGTGTTGTCTCAATGTAAATTTGTTGTGAGAAGCATGGCAGGCGCTATGTTTGATATTGAATTGCAAGATGCAGATGTTCACCAAGATGAATCAGATGACGATGCTTTTGAGATAGAAGAGGCAAGTAATAATTCCTTTTACGTCTGTTGTATCCGAATTGGCGTCCTACAATGTAGAACAATTAAGTCGATCCATAGACCTTGAGGAAGCACACCATTTCAAGGTTACTTACTAGTTCAGTATTGTTAATTGCTAATGTATTATTTTTTTTCTTTCATAGGGTGATTACGATACGGATCCAAATGTCAATGCCATAATTGAGTAAGTGTTGATCACTTGTTATAGTTGTACAATTAAATTTTATTAGCAAGGGTATTTATTTGTACGCTTAACTCTGTTAAATTTGTTCATAGACTGTTGAATGCAGATTGTAAAACTCTATTTTAATATTTTTTAAATCTTCTAGGAAAACGACGGCAAGTAAAGTTATGTGAAAGAAATGTTTAACCACTTCTGAAAGTTGTGATGAAGTGTATTCTTAAGAATTGTAAACAATACATTATCATTTAGACATTTAAATATGAATGTGAGAAGCAAGTGCATATATTATATTTACAGATCAGATGATGTGGAAACTGTTCAACTCTCTGAGCAGAATGTGAACACTGGCAAGGAGAAAACTGGTCCTCAAGATTTTGAACTGCGTAAAGTTTTAGGAAAGGGAGGGTATGGAAAAGTGTTTCAAGTACGTAAAGTTACTGGACAGGACACTGGTACCATCTTTGCCATGAAAGTGTTAAGGAAAGCTTCCATTGTGCGTAATCAAAAAGACACAGCTCACACCAAGGCAGAAAGAAATATTTTGGAAGCAGTGAAGGTATGTCTGAGTTTTTTTATTTGTTTGTAAATACAAATGTAAAGTACATTATTAGCTACAAACAGTATTGCTATAACAGACACCATATATGACTAATTTTGTAGGGTGGAGTTCTAATTTCTTTTATAAGTATTTCCCTGTCCATACCATTTGTTCATACTTTTTTGATATGGCTTCAAAACATTTCTTTAATGAGGGTAGCTTGTGCTTCAATTTATGCTAGTTCTTTGAATTACTATGTTGGGAATGTGTGTGGATAACGAATTCTTCAATTTGTGTTTTGAAAATTGAAGTATAAAGATACAGGAGCAAACTGAATTGCATAATGAAATTCATAGTAAGTTATTTGTGCATTTCAAATCTGTCAAAGGTGAGATGAAGTAACTTTATTTGGATTATTACAATGGAAAGGATAAATTCCTGTATTTAGTGAAGTTAAGATTTTATACATAATTTTAGCCAATTGTCCACCTTTTTATTTCTAAAAGATTGCGGTATCTTATTAATCAATTTCTAATTTAATACCTCATACCCCTGTTTATCAACTTAGAGGTTGTCAGTAATTTTTAAAACAAAAGATCCACATTCCAAAATTTTAAATGTCAGATTATGCTTTTAATAGTTTAGAGATTTGATGTTATTTTTTAACCCTTGTACCATACTTGGGCTTTCTTTTACCCCAAAATCATTTGTTAGTATTGCAGTATAGTTTCAGGTCTCTAGATACAAGTTTCTTGTATGCCTTTGTGTACATATCAAATGGGTACCAAATCATTTTCAGATATTTTCCAAATTTAGATATTAATTTTTTACATTACATGGGCCCGATTGACCTAAGGTAAGATCTATAGTCTATTCTTTTCGAATTCTCATTTGAAACATCTCATTGGGAACTCTGATGACTTTCTTATACAGTTGGTACTGTAAAATCTGTTTAAGCTGAAATTGATCAGGACAAAAAAAAAAATCTGGTTTAGGGAGGTTTCCATTTTATGACACTTCTGATAGTGATATTTCCATCTTGAAAGTACTAAATTCTGTGACTTTATTATAATTATTAAAGCAGGTCATCATATGACATATTTAGGGAAGTAAACACCAATAACTGAATATTAAACATTTTTTATTGATAGATTCTGAAATTCTTTTGGTTCTAGAAGTTTGAGCTTTGAATCTGAGGTTAGTCTAATGATTTTTTCAACCGTTGTGAAACCCATCTCATTGCCTAGTGGCTGCATTCCGACTGCTTGCTGACTCTTTCATCACACAGTGCTTCACTGCCCAGAGTACTATCAATTTATCTTTAAGGTAAAATTATGTGCTGACAGCCCCTCTCCTTCAATGTGCAGCTGCCACGATGACTAAATCACATGACACAGGGATAGAGAATTCAAAACAAGGTCGCAGATACATTAATTTTCTTAAGAATGTCTCTTGTTAGTTTCATTTACTCACATAAAATTGACGGTATGTTTGAACTATTATGTAAGCTAGATGTTAAAATAGGTGCTGGATCCAACGGTATACCCCAGCAATGTCTGAGAAATTGTGCTGTTGAACTCTCTGAACCCTTATTTTAATCAAAGAAACAAGGTAGAAAAGTACATACAGGCTTCAGTAAAGTCTTCAACATCGTGGATAATGACATGTTATGTGATTAATTGAATCTATACAAAGAATAAAGCACTAGACTGGTTTCACTTACATATGATAGGAAGAAAGCTTAAAGTTGGAGTAAATGATCACATCTCATCTGAATGTAGAGTAATCTCAGGCGTTCTTGAAGGGATAAGTGTTGGTCTGATCTAGTTCAATATCCATGACATTGTTGATAAATTTAAGTCTGACTAATTTCCCATTCTCATTTGAAACATCTGATTGTGAACTCTGATAAATGTTTGTAATATTGTTAGTACAGTAAAATCTGACTTAAGCCAAAATCGATAAAAAAAAAAAAATGTCCATATCCTCCAAGCTATTGACGTTCTTAGCAGTTGGTATTTTAGAAAAAAACTAAAACTGAATGTTGGCAAGTGTGTGTTGATGCCCTTCTCGCATTCTTCTTTATGATGACCTGCAATATACTACCTAACTGGGCATCAATGAGGAGTCAGTAAGGACTGGGGCATTATTATCGACAATAAACTTAAGTTCTTGAATCACATGGACAATATAACATCTAAACCATCTACAACACTAGGATCCTTGAATTGGGAAAGGAATTTAATAATAATAAGTACATTTGCTAATTCATCTATACTCTACCTTAGTCTGTCCAGTAATTGAATACTGCTCAACGATCTGCTCACCATACACAGATACTCTTGAGGAAAGAAATGAAAATATTCAGAGAAAATTTTGTAAACATGTCAGGTACTATACTAGTTTCAAAGACCTGCGCATAGACGAAATTTACTCTCATTTCAAGATTGACTGTCTTTCAAGACGAAGATGAATTTTGGATCTTACATATTTTTGTAAGATTATTAATTGTCAAATTGATTGTCCAGAAATACTAGAACAATGTGAATTCTTCTACCCAAAATGTGGCCTGAGATCCCACAGATAGTTGAAATCGATGGAGACTTCAAAAAACTTCATATATCATGGTCCGAAAAACAGAATAGCGAATCTGTAAATAAATATTGTTCTGACTTAATTTTTTTTTTTTTTTTTGATTATCTATATTAATATTTTAAGTAAGTAATTGTTATTTAATTTAAAAAATATTATAATTACTTGCTGTGATTATTTACTTACCAAAGTCGTGAAGTGAAAAAGAAAAGGTGAACTAAGAGTACAGTACCATTTCCAGTCTATAATATTGTTTGAAAAGCTGTGATTTTTCATCAGAAAAACTTGTGTTGTAATATTGATATTGAAAAAAGGGTAAATCTAATTGTTAAAAGTATCTTGCTAATTTACAGGTTGCAAGTTTAGTTTAATTGGTCTAATCAACAAATAATTTAAATTATTAATTGATTATTGTAATTACCCCAATAATATCTTTAAAATTGGTAATTAATACTAGATCCAAATAATAGTATTAAAGGTGATTATTGATTCCAAGTGCTTTGACTTGATTTTATTAAAGTGTGTATAGCATTAGTGTCTTGTGAATGAGTGACTGTCTGGGTGAGGTGTCTTCCTGAATTTTATTTAGATTTCATTGAAAGAGATGAAAGAAGTATACTATTAATTGTAAATTAACAAAGACCTTGTTACTTACTTCTGGTGTCTTTATTTTCTTCAGCACCCCTTCATTGTGGATCTGATTTATGCATTTCAAACTGGAGGCAAGCTGTATCTTATTTTAGAATACCTTAGTGGTGGTGAACTATTTATGCATCTTGAACGAGAAGGAATATTTCTAGAAGATACAGCTTGGTAAGTTATATTAAAAATCATATTTTTTGAGAGTTACAATTTGCAATTTGAAGCTGAAACTTCTGTGAGAAAAAAGTTTGTATTGAATGGAGACATTGTATATTGTATGTAATGTTGTTGTTTCACTTTTCCCTGAGAATAATAAAATGATCATACATATAAGATTCTTATTCTAACGTTAAATGAATCGGAACACTTAAGTGTGCATATTTTTAAAATCTAAATAGACTACTCAGGTTATAGATTTATTTTAACCAATATTTAACAATTGTCAAATATTTTGAAAAATTTTAACTTGCATTATTTTCTAATATCAACTGTTGTTCTCTCTTTTTACTCTTTTTTCCTTTTCTCTTTTCTAATATGTAGTAAGGTAGATTAGTTACAAGTTATTCTTGATTTTGTATTGATTTTATTAAAGTGAAACCAATCTTTATCATGAACTAATTTTAGGATACAATATATGAAATCTTTCAGTTCGTTGTATTTTATGTATTTATTGATATGCAAATAAGAAGTATCACTCCAATGCCCAAATATTATGGGATTAATTGTGTTTTGTACATAATATAATGTATGAGACATTTAATAATACTATTTCAATATTTTTGTAAATTGTAATTGTAAAATGAATTTTATTGTGCCTAATTTACTTTTAATTTTTTTTGCAGCTTCTATCTATCAGAAATTATTTTAGCACTAGAACATTTACATTTACAAGGAATTATTTATAGGTATGTCAATTTATTTGTTGTTCAAAAATGAGAGAGATATTATATGCAATCATTTATTGTAACAAGTATGCCATCATATATTTAATCCATGTTTCACAGGGACTTGAAACCAGAAAATATATTATTAGATGCACAAGGTCATGTGAAACTAACAGATTTCGGTCTGTGTAAAGAACATATCCAAGATGGTTCTATGACACATACATTCTGTGGAACCATAGAATATATGTAAGTATTAAAATATGTTGTATATGTATGTGTATTAACATTTGTTCCTTTCTTTATTGATCATTTCATTAGGTTCATAACGAAATCTTGTCATTTAAAGATATTAAATTTTTGTATTATGATGCTTTATTTAGCCAGACAGAGTAGACAATTCGATGATTAAAAATAGAGCAATTTGAAGTATAATTTTGTAGTGAAATAATTGTCATACTGTATTGTTTTATGCAAGTGTGTCAACTGTTAAGCCGAGCTAGTCTTCAAAATCTTCCTTACGTAACAAATGCAGATGCAATATGTTTGCTGTGTTTTTGTCTCCCCCCCCCTTTTTATAATGAATTAATTTTGTTTTTCAGATAAATATTATCATATGAAAATAAATTTTCATTTCAGGGCCCCAGAAATTTTGACTAGGAGTGGACATGGAAAAGCAGTGGACTGGTGGTCACTTGGTGCCTTGATGTATGACATGCTAACAGGAGCAGTGAGTATAACTGCCCAGCTTTGTACATCTTTGTACAGAAGATTTACCTAGAAATCTTTTAGTTTCTTTTTGCTTCCACAAAATGGGCACAAAACCTTAGATGAGTGAATTTATGGAATTTTTTTCTTCTATTTGGAGATTGTTAGCATGTCAAACCGTAGTTATACTTCTGTAGAATAGTGTGATTCAATTGGTTTTGTTGCCAGAGCTGTATGAAAAGAATTAGTAAAAATAGTTACTGATTGAGATACTTTCAAAATCTTTAAAGTAAAGCTGACTTTTGAATCCTCAAATTTCTCGAATAGAGCAAAAAATTTGATATTCAGAATCTTTCAAAATTTGAATTTTTAAAACCTCTTTTGGCATTCACATATACTCTTGGCTTCCAGGTATTTCATTTCCCTTTTTTTCACACTTCATATTTCACTTAAGAGTGGTCACTTTTTTGAAAACATGAAAAATCTCAATTTCATTGCACCTGAAAAATTAGGGAACGTTGAGAAGAATTGTTTGAAGATAGGAAAAGTCTAGGGACAATTTTAAAAATAAATATTATTTCTTAACACTAGGGTATCGTTTGAATCAGGGGCAATTCATTTTATATAATTTTAGGTTTTGTTTTGGAAATGGCAAACTTTTACAAGTCTTCTTTGTTTTCAGATGAGAATTGTTCTTTATGTGCATTTTTAAAAATCTACAAAAATGTAATTTTTATTGAACATTTTCATACTCTGCCCATGGGTGTCATTTTGACACTAGCTTGATACTTCGCCTGAGGGTTATACATGCTTCACTATCTAGTAATCACCTCAACGTGTTATTGAGATTTCCTTTGAGCTTCTTTCATTCTTATTGTGTTATTTATTGATCTCTTTTGGGAATCAAGAAAAGTTGGGAAAAGAAACAGATGTAGTATCTGAGATTGTTTCCAAGTTAATTCACTTTCACTTTGAAGGAAATGTTAGTTCATCCAAGATATAGTGCATATGATATTTGATAGGATATAAAATATGCACTATCAAATTTAAGTACTCGACTCCTTTTCTATTTTAGTGCCTTATGAAGCTGTGCACAATTAAACATTTTTTCAAAGTTTTCTACTGTTAGATTCAGTCCCTTGTGTGAAAAAAAATGTTTGGTGTATCAAAAATAACCCTTTTTTTGTGTCTAAATTAAGCCTAAAACCTCCACCTGATGAATAGGAACATATTTCAAGGGTAAAATTTGTATTATTTACTCTTTTTTGTGTGGAATGCCTTATTTGCATGTGCCCTTCATGGGAATTTCCATCATTGTGTGGGGTGTCCTTGAAAGGATCAATCATGGAGGAATACAGAATTGGAGGGGAAACTAGAGAGAGAAATCTACGGTAAGGTGCAGGTGAAAATTGACAGCACTGCATTCTGTGAGCAGAATGGATATTTCTTGATATTTGAAGCAGCTGGCTCAGATACACTGTACTGAATAAACTTTTGGCCATCCAATATATATAATAACTGCTGTCATATTACCAAAGCAAGTACTCCGTACTTGCTCACCTATTTAAAAAAAAAAATTAAAAAAACTATAAAAAAACATTTTTTCTGTGTAATATTCATAAAATATATTCTGAAAACAAGCTTACATGATCATAGAGCAATGCACTATAGGTACAGAACAATAATCTGATATAGTTGCCACATTACATTACTCTTTAAACAGCCCTTGAAGTACAAATCTACATGTGTTTTACTACAATTGTTTCTCTACCAGCTTTTCAAGTTATAACACAAAACAAATACATTTAATATGTGGTACAATTGACATAAATGGTTTTATATCATAATGAAATTACTTGCATGTTGGATTTTATGTGGTTTCTTGTTAAATTTTTGTCATTACTGCGAAAATATTAATACACCACATAATCATACTAAAAATAGACTGTCACAATGTACAAATATTTGATACCTCCATTTCAGCCCAGGACCTTCCATTATTTAGAAATCTCTATCAATTGAGCAATGGAATAAAACGCAGCATTCATGGCAAATTACTTCCAGGGAAAATACAATATACTTGCATATATGCACTTTATGATAATTCTTGTTCATTAGTTTAAAAAAATATCATTTCTTTGGACCTTACATTTATTCATTTGGATCTTGTGGTTTTTTATCCTCTTGCAAATCTGCAGTTTAGTTTGGTAAAGCTACATATCCTAATACAAATATTATTTGTTAGTAAACAATAAACAACATATTTGTTTCAATTTTGCCATATGCCTGAAAAATGCAATTATTTTATGAATTTGATAAAACAATCAAATTCAACAGGCAGTAAGTTATTTCCCAATTAACTACAGTAGCTCATTTTCGTAATTCCGAATGTTACACTAACATTCTTAGCTCAGAGGGAAACCTGAAGAGACTTTGTTCCTTCACCTTGCTAAATAGTTTTGGCGCAGTGTGGAATCCAGCATTTCGCCATCATGATCTACAACACTTGATAAGAACATACACTGCCAAACCCCTCGCTAACAAAATGACACCAACCATTGCCATGAGTGGTAGAAGTTTCGTAAGCTCACAGCTCTACCTAACAATCAAATAACCACCACACTGAAAAAATGTTGATGAATCCTCTTCTATTATATATTCCTCCATGGACCAGCACCCGAAAACATTGTATAAGGTTGTGCAGCAGCATGAACCCAGTGAATCAATTGACCTGGCTATGGTTGACCGATCAGCTGGCACACAGATTCCAGGAAAATTCCTTTCTCTATGCTCTGTAATGTGATCACATATTGTTCAGATATCTTTGGTTACAAATAGGAAGTTGGAAGAAGAAATGTTTTTAAAATGTATCTCTCTTAATAAAATGAGTCGTAGACAATTTCCTTCCAATTGTTTTCAGAATTTAAAAAAAATGCAGTGTAGCAATAAATGAGTGACATCTGTCCTTTGGCTGATTCTAAGAACATAATGTTAATGCATTATATGCATTGATTTGATTTTTAACCAGATTTATATAAAAACCTTTGCAAAAATTTATAAATATTAATATGCTAGCTAAAAGTCTTAATATACAATATTTTATGGAAAAAATATCAATATGCATTATGCACAAATTTCTCCAAAGTAGTATCAAAAATGCATCCATGCATGGAAAAAGTGTATGTTTTGTTAGTGAACATGCAGTGACACAAATAACTACAAGGTTCGAGAAGTGTAGTAAGCTTACACAAAAACAGGCATTTACATGGAAAACCTATCTAATTATATGTAATTTTTTCAAACCTTAAAACCATTTTTTTCAGCCACCATTCACTGCAGAGAATAGGAAGAGAACAATTGAGAAGATTTTGAAAGGGAAGCTGAACTTACCCCCGTACCTGACGCCTGATGCAAGAGATTTAATAAGAAAATTACTGAAGGTATAGTTCTTTAACATTACATGTGAGAAACCTTGTGTATACCGAGTCCCTTACTACTTCTTTTAAAGCTGGATTAACCGATTTATTATTACTTGAATATGAAGGGCTCTTCCGAAGTTTTTAAACATATCCGAAAATGTGATAACTCCTGGATATTTTCTCTCTCTCCCTCTCCCTCTCCCCTGTCTCTCTCCCTCGCCCCGTCGCTCTCTCTCATTTATACTTGTTGGATTTTCAGACTCATTGTGGTTACTTCAAATGTTTGTTACTTTGATCACTAATGCAGAGTGCAGCACTTAAATCCACACATTTTAATTTCCATTAAATGTCTTAAATCATTGTTTTAGACTATTATTGACTTTGATGAGATGTTCACACTTCTAGAAAATGGTCATAACTTTAAATGATTGCACTCAACAGCTTAACAGAAAACTAATTAACAGAGTTATAAGAACACAGAGACTGATTCAATTTCATTAGATAATAACATTGACTTCATGAAATTACTTTGCATTGAACCTCCACCAGAAGTAAGATATTTCACTATTGAACCTCTCAGAGATTCTCTAGAAACCACAACAAAATGCGCCAGCGCAAGAGAAAATGTATTCGCCGGTTTATCTTCTAGAGTCTTCTTATAATATGTGGTCACAAGTAGATCATTGCTTGATAAATATTTTTCTTGTTCTCCTGACTGGGTATACAGGACAAATTAGCATTGTGTGCATTTTATGTCAGGGAGCTATGGTGTATATTGCCCTTAACGCCCTTAGGATTGTCAATTTGTGCAGAACATTCAGGCCGCTGAAGCGCAGTGGAGATTTCTTTAGGACCTTTCATACCCCCTTGAGTGACCATTAAATGTATGTGTGATAACAGAATGTGAATGCATGAACAAGTATAAGATATTTGTCTCTGGTGATCAATTTAGCATTCAAGGTTATGATGATATCTATCTCATTTGTGCAGATGTTCTTGTAGGAATAATGATATCTTTACCCGAAGGAAAATTTTGATCAAGTCACTTTGGCTGCGGATGAGTAAAGCCGTATAAAATTTGCAAACCACAGCAATACACGCAATAGATAGTTTAATGGTGGGCACGTGAAAATGTGAAATAATTATAATTCCATTAGTATCCAATGGCTAATCTACTTGACAAGAATATCCATTCTCCAATTTTTTCTGCAAATGAATTTATCAATAGTTTTCATAATAATGTCATTTTTCATTGAGAGCATTGCTCATTGTGTATGACTACAGATTTCTGAGTATTCATTACTAATTATGTGTGCCTATCATGAACGATAGTTCTGTGTGTAGCTTTTTGAGATGACAAGAATCATAATCATCAATCGTTTTTGGGAAAACAAGAATCATTTGTAACACATTTCTGACTGAAATATTGTAGTTGAAATTCATGTTCCATGAATGTAATTATTTCTATGATCAATGAAAAATCTAGGTCTCTACAAAGTTCAAAATGATTTAGTTTCCTTCTTTTCAAATCATTGGCACAGCTTTCTGAATATTTCATATTTTTCCTAATTTTAATAATTTTATAATTGATAATGATTGATTTTGACTATAATTTGATAGAAACTTCAAGAATTACAATATTTCAGTATATACACTGTTATATACCTACATTGGCTGAAACATGATTTGCAGGCATGTTAACAGAACTCAGTTGCATTCAAGAGTTAATTTCCAGATTATTCCAAAACTTAAGAGATTCATAAAAACAATTAGTATTTGACAACAGATTGGGTTACCAGCATGACTGTATACCTCTCAGACAGGAATGGATAAGTTTTAAACAAAAACCTCTTGAAGAATAAAAATGCTGTCGAATAAATGAAAATGCACAATTTATTAATCTAAAATAAACTATGAATTTGTGAATCAAGAAAGAAATTAAAAACTGCAGTTACACAAACGTGCATATGAAGCAAAACCCTCAACTGCTCCAGAGGAACTTCCTAACATGTAAGAGGTTGCCTTCAGTTCCATTTGTTATCTGGCAGCCTGATTGTGGCTCATAAATTGTGGCCAAAAATAGAGATAATGAAAATGCTCTCTGGTTAGGCTAGGTGGTTTGCATAACAGCAAAACTATTTGCTTATCTTCTATTTTTGAAACTTTTATATTGTGTACATTCTTTTGAGACTGTATAGACAGTGTGAACTCTTGAGTTTTAATCGGTAATAATCAAAAATGTATTATTTATTTATTAGGATTTAAGGTGTAAAGGCATGGTTTGCTGAAGTTTACAAAAGAGTTCAGGAAATTCTGTGAAAATATATGAATTTTTGCAATGTTGTTATATTGTTTGAATAATATTTTATTAATTTTTTTTTCCATTATTACAGCGCCAAATGAGCCAGAGACTAGGCTCAGGACCAGGTGATGGAGCTATGATAAAAATGCACTCCTTTTTTAGACATATATGTTGGGCTGATGTGGTTGCTAGGAAATTGGAACCCCCTTTTAAACCCTGTCTGGTAATATACATTTAATTCTTTCAATGTTTTAGGAATATTGAAATTATGCCAAATGAATTCATACTCATATAATTTGTATTTTCAGTCCTCAGATGATGACGTATCCCAGTTTGACACAAAATTTACAAAACAGACACCAATTGATTCTCCAGATGAATCAACCCTGAGCGAAAGTGCCAATTTAGTGTTTCAGGTAATTCATTTGCTAAATTCTATTTGTTCAAAATATAATAAAACCTATAAATGAACACTTCATGAGTGGACACTGTTTTCTTAATACTCTATATACTTGAATAATTTCCACCCTTGAATAACACCTGCACCCTAATTTTACGGAAAAAATTTTGAAAAAAATAATGTTTTCTCCTTTTTTGCTCTTTTATTGCAAAAAGATAGTTCGATTAATATATTACATAATTATGGTTGAAACGATCCCACACCTGCAATAAAAGAAAAATAACTTACTTCATTATCACTCTCATTACTGTCAAGAGAGCTGTTGGCAGCAGAATTGTTGTCATCTTGCCACAGCACATCATCCTTTGTTCCGTTCCTTGAATTTGTGATGCTGCACTTCTTAAAGCTCTTCTCCACCACAGAAAGGCAGAATTGATAAATTTCCCGCCACTTGATCTTTCTGGTTTTGGCCATGGTAGATGTGGTTTGCCTCTGCCATCCACTTTGTGTAATGTTGTGTAACCGTTGCCTTGAAGGGGAAATTAATAAACACATCGAGATGCTGCAGAAACGATTAGACCTCTTGGGATGATCACCATGTCCATTTTTCTTCTATTTAACATTTTGCACACTTTCTCTGTGGTGTGGCCATGGAAGTTGCCCAGTACTAATTTGTTAGGCAACCATACCAGTGCTCTAGGGCATCGTTGCCAAACTCTTGTTATGCTGTACAAAATTGTGGTCCTTCCAACCTTTTGATTGCGTCTTCACAATAATGCCGGAATCCTCATTTTTGGAATGGTTTTGAGCTTAAAAATTATATAGAGAAGCAACTTCCGTCCATCTACAGTAACAGAGAACATAACTACGCCTCTTAGCTTTTCACAGATTTCTGTTGTGATCATGACGCTAGATTCTCCCTTTTTGATTATTGTATAATTGAATCTCATCTCAAACTACACCGGGGTTTGATCAGCATTGCTGATTTTCGACAAACAATGTGTATTTGATTTACACAAACCAATAACATAATTTTAAAAAATGATAAATTTTTCCTCGAAATCTGTTGGTATCTGTTCAGGTATATTGGTTTTTCCTGCAGAAGGTCTAACCATTGCATTTAAAAGAAAGCGTGAGCCACCCTTGCTGACCTTGAATTCTTAGATACCAAGTTTCTTCGCAGTAGCCAGCACTCTCAATTGGCACATATCACTCGGAACTGCACAACCAAACTGTTTTTTCCACTTATAACTTGCACACTATCTTCTCAGTTTTCAGAAACTTTGCTTTCGGTCTTTGAAAGGCCTGCCGATTTACATTGGTTTGTTCAAGTAGTGTTTTGTTTTTACGCCAATAATGGATACAACTTTCATTCATATCTCACTTTCTGCTGAGCAGTTACCAATTTCTGGTGCTTCTTCTATCACTTTTTCTTTCACAAGAATTTATATTATGAGAGAAGTGAGTGTAGGTTAAGGGACGAGTCATCTGGGAAATCTATTTATTTATTTAAGGCTTTTACAGGCAATAATACAACTGGTGTAGCCTGAATCATCACTAACATGTTTCATAATTGAGATATTGTGAGTGATATATATTAAAATCTAAACACAAACCTGAGGAAATAACTTGTCTTATCAAAGTGCACGATTGTGGCATATTTTCCATCTTGGCAAAATTATTAGATATTGTGGTGTTTTGACTTCTTTGTAATCTGTCCCAGCCCGCCGTGCTCAGCCCACCTAATTCCACCCCATTCATTCTATTGGAACCAAGGAATATTTAAAAAAATTGTTGCTGAAATTGAAGCATTAAATTCAAATGTCTATTTTGCCCTTTAGCTTAGTGCCAATGAGAAATAAATCATTTAAACATCAGCCAATCCCAAATGAATATTAACTGACATTTGAGGCATAAGACATGACACAATCCATTTAATGTAATTCTAAATAAATAGAAATATCTAACCAGTTGCAGAATGATAAGGTGTTACAAATGACAGATAAAAGTTTCATTTACATGACAAGTAATTTGAACATTGCGAAGATGAACTCTATTATTTTCATGTTGATTGTAAGATCAGCAGTGTGTTGATGTTTTTATTTCTTTGTTGTTGTTTTTTTCATTTTATGTCTAATTGAACAGAATGAAAGTTATAAAATTAACAATTGCACATTGTTTTTAGGGTTTCACATATGTGGCACCATCAGTTTTAGAGGAAATGTATAAACCTCCACGCATAGTGAAAGCTAGATCACCTCGTAAATCAGCATTTTCAACAACACCTTCTTTGCGGAATCCTTTTAGTTCACCAAGACATCATTTATCTCCTGCAGGCTTTCATAATTTTAGTGGAAATAATCGTGATTATAGTACTATCTTAGATGGAAACTGTCAAGAAGAAATGATGGAGATTCAAGGAGTACCTCATGTATAGTAAGTATTATGTTAAATAATGTAATGTATAAACAGTTTTCCTTATGACAGACTTGTGGAAGATGGATCTTATATTATTGCATGAAATATGTGATAGAGACACGTACAAGAATTATCTTTATGGACATTTACTGTTCTGTTCACAGGCCTAGGCTTGACAATAGCTACATTTTGAAGCAATTTATTTGACAGGGGTTGTGTTTGTGCTGAGCTTCAGTCACATTTCGTCTTATCCTTAAACTTAACCATTGCCAATTTATTGATTGTATACTATTGTGAAACTGCGTATTACTTAGCAATGACCGAAAGTGTTCAAAGGTTCTGCCGTGGCCTAACAAACCAAGCATCCAAGCAAGTGAATTTACTTGTTTTCAGCTTGTAAAATCCATTATAATACAACGGTGCTAGACTCAGAATTGTCACACACATTTACACACATACACATACACACGATTTTTTGTAATCTTTTAATGCCTCAAAAATATGAAATTAATATTAATCATGAATTATGCTCTTAGAATGTATATATTTGCTGTATTTATATAAGTTATTGCCTGTAATTTGATTTGTATACATATTTTGATAAGTTTCTTGCAAGCTGTAGCCTTTCCTGTCTTCAATTTCAATATATTACATTTTTAGTGTTAACTATTGATATATGTTCTGCATATTTTGTACATACGTTTGTTGGGTCTTTTTCTTCAAAGATTGTGGAATTATAGATTGACAAAAACATTTAACTCTTTACATTGTATACTTCCTTATTCCTTCACCTACCTCTCCTAAAAATTTATACCTGAAAAGATACTAGTCTTCTTCCTACAAGTTGCTTAAAAGCACATGCAATTGTTCTTATGACTGTTTATTAATATCAAGAAAACGACTCTTGAGAACAATGTTGACACACATTCCATTCATTAATGCCTAGTACATTCTTTACAAGATTCTTTAGAAGTCAGGTTGAAGTTCACGCTAAGAGCATAATTTATGACAATTTGCTGTTCTTAACTGTTTCTGGTATAGAGCATCATGTATTGTGTTTATATTGTTAATTTCAAGAGGCTCTGCAAACATTATTTTGGGGACATTTTTCCCACTCTTTAAATTTTTCCCCCCCTTCTTTTGCAATGCTTTTTAATTTTTTTTTAAATTTTTTTTTCTTCTTTTTTTAAATAGTGAATTGGTTGTTTCTAACTCTATTACCATATTTACTCAAATATAAGACATTACCCTTAAATTTTGAAGAGACCTCCTAAGAATGTATAAAATTTTTAATTTTGTCTTACTTTTTAATGAAATTAAATGTGTAGAAAATTGTCTTGATGAGAATGTTTAAATGAATTGCCTGAGCTATTACAATTTTCTTGTTCCTTAAAATCATAATTATGTATTTTGTTACCACCATCTTCACATGTATAATTGTTTCTTCCTTTATAGTCCTCCTCCCATGCTGTATTGATCTTGGTTTTTAGACCTCTCTGCTAATTTTGCATATTCAAGTCATGTTAAGTTCTTAGTCTGTCATCTAATGCCACCTAAAAACATTCCCTTCTGCTTCACCAAATTTCCGTTCTGTCTTGAAATCTACATTGTTTTACATGTATGTATGGTTAAGATGTAAGCAGAGTTCATTTAATTTCACATTGCATTTCCCTTCATACAATGCCATTAGTTTGAATTCTCTCTTTGCTGGGCTATTCAAAATATTAGTCTTAATTGCATGGCAAACTTCCGGTGGATACTGAGAATAAATCCGCAAATGTAATTAGGTATTACAGATACGCATATTTTGTCACTTTTCCATCTTATTGTTGGCATGTATGAGTTTCATGGCATGGAAAGTCTAAGTAAAAACGTAAATCCTAACTGGCTAGGCTTAATCTGCAAATATAAAGCAATCCCATATTTTTTGAATGAGATATTTAGGGAAAAACCTAATCATATATTCGGATAAAAATGGTATAAAAGCACTTGTATTAATAAAGAATGATATGATAGGATTTTCTACCACTTTATCTAAAGACTTTGATTGAAAAATATTATTTTCAAAACTACCATTTGTGTTGCTATTCAAACAAATTGAAGTGATATTTCTCTCTGTGAACTAATCTATTAAAACTTCATCCCAGGATGTTATTTCCTCAAGAATAAAATTAGTTAGGGCCTTTTAGTATATGTGTGTTTTTGTGTATTGCCTCTCCTTTCTCTTCTATATTTTCTTACCTACTTCCTCCTATATTTTTATGAAATAAGTTTTTGCTCTTTTGGAGCTTTTATTTTTTAATTGTGAGGTTCATCTTATTTACTTGAGTTCTGGTTATGTCTTACAGTTGGCAATAACTCGAAACATCCCTAGTGATTTAAAAAAGGGTACAAATATAGAGAATCACTTATTTTAGAAAATCACATTCATTGAACTTGTTGTTTTTTACATTTATAGCTGGCAATGAGAAAATATATTTTAAAAATAGTGTACAAAATAAACATACAAAGCTATTTCCAAAGATCCTAGAATATATTGAATTGCAGTTTCCATTTGTCTTGCCATTTTGTCCATAATTTCAAATTTCATTAATTTCTTTGATCCTTTTGTGATGCAGTTTCACTTACTTTAGTGGCATTAATAATTGTACAAATTTACATGTACTTCATCCAATGGGTGATATGCAGGCTCATAATTTTAGTGGTTCCAGGAGAGCAATCTGACCTAATAGCCCGTTTATGTCACTGTCCTCATTTAAACTTCTCAGTTGCTTACACAGTCGACCAAATCCATAGAATTGGTTTTCTTTATATGATTTGTAAGGAAGATAAGTGAAACCGTTTATTGAGAGAGATTTCCAGTGCTTTATTGGTCATTTTTTCTGCCATTAGTTCTGCCAATGTGATGTGCTTAGTACTATGTTGCCAGTTGTACCATTTGCTATCACTCTGGCATATATTCATTGTTCTGTTTGCAATTTACCTGTACTGTGTAAACAACTGTGTAAACTCAAATTTCAATTTCACGTATTGTTAATGAGAGAATGTAGGAATGTCCTTGGCTTTATTGTACATAATAAAAAGTGTTACTGAATGTAGTGCATATGAAATGGAAAGTTGTTTTAACCTAGCAGAACCACACCAATGTTATTTTCTAAAATAAGAATCCAGAAGTATTTTACTAAACATTGTTTTGTAAATAATATTTATATTGTCAATTACTGAGGTTTCTGTTGTAATGTACCTTCAGTTTTTACTCCAGTGATCTCATTAGATTGTAATTGATCAATGATCATATCTCCAAAATCAGTCTGACTTAAATCGACTGATATCTTGATTTCTTTGATACCTTATCTTGATACCTTTGATGAAAAGTGTATTAATACATTTTAGCCCTTCAATGCTTTGATAAATCAATAATGTTCAAGGAGAGAAACGTTACAACTTATGTGAATAGTTTTCCCATACAAATAGGTTCTTCCTACCTTCTAGTCACATTTAGTTTTTGTATAGGTTCAATTTGATAATTTTATTTAAACTTAAATCCAAAACCTTTGAATACCTAACTTAAAGACCTTAATTTTTGCCCACTAATATGTTGAGATTTTTTTATATTCTCTCCCTCTCTTTGCAGCTTCCTTACAACTCAGTCACTGTAATTTCTGTCTGCTTTTTTATAAAATATTTCAATTACAGAAAAATTCTCTTATAATAGAATTATTATTTCTCATCAGCTGTTCTATCATTCAGTGCATATCGGGCATTTGTTATTACAAAGAATACTTTGCATTAATATGATTAATATAAACACTTTTCTGTTTAATTTCATTTATTTATTTGGACCAAAACTTGTTTCCTTTTTCTTTTGTTACTTTTGCTTACGAGTTTTCTTTTTTTCCTGCCATTGAAACCTTCTTTGTTCATTGGAAAACAATTTTCAATTTACTGTACTTTTTCTTTAAAATCACATCATAGTGTTGAAAGTTTCCCGTAACTCTTTTGTTGAAGTCCCCATTTACAAGTGTTACATTACCTTGTACTGTAATGAAAATGACAAGTTATAATTCTATAAATGTATGTAATTTTGTTGTATTCTCAAATAACCTAGGAAAGTTTTGAAGAATTTCATCAGGAATATTCTTTGTTAAGAGTTCTATTTTATTTCGTATTAAACTATTTTTTTAAATTTATTTATTTATTTATACTCCAAAATGCTGTTTGCAGTGCTCCAATGTATTTCCTAATCTCAATAAATTGTTGTAAAAAATGTTTTAACTAAATAACTTTGTGAGTGTAACGCTAAACGCATATCACAGGAATGAAATGTGGTATGAAATAGACCGAAAATTGGCTGAGAGGGTGTATTCTAAATTCTGTAATAAAACACTGAGGTCATCTTACCAAAAAAGAAAAAAAACAACACTTGGAATAAACTCTTTCAGTTTATTTTTGGGTGAAATGTTGGTAGTTTAAAAGAATTTGTAAATAGACATATTTTTTAGGAGTTTGCCTGTTAGTTTGACTAAATGTTTTATACAAAAATGACAGATTGAGGGAAAAGAGAATTTTTAAGTTAAAGCATGTTTTAGAAAATTAGCTTCACTCCATTTACTGTTCTTAATTCAAACAATATTTTAAAGTTACCAGGTCAAAGAATTTTTCAGTATAAGTGACATAATGCCAAATATTGTGGCCGAAGGGAAATAAAGTAGTGTGAATTTTGTATGAAATTAGTCATATAGTTCTTGCCAACAAACATAACTGAAATATTTTATTGTGAATGTATATCCTATGATACAAAGGTGGTTTGCAAGGGATGCAGCTACACCAAGTTAAAAATATTGAGAAAATATTTTTCCTTATGGTGGTTTTTTAGATCATCTATGGCCACTAAACTTCTTTGGTAAATAACCCTTTGAACACCTCTGTTGAAACTGCTCTTGTGGGTTGTGCCGTTGTGGCTAAGGGCTCAGCTGTGTGAAATATTATTTTGCATATCCCAATTATAAGCTCACATTATTATTACTTTTTATTTATTTGAAGTAGAAGGTTGATGAAGAAAATAAAAATATTCATTGCTAGAATTTCATAAAAAGTATATAAACTTGTATATGTATGTATGAATGTAATGAGGGAAGTCTTTATTCAAAGTAAGCTATTATTAGCTGAGTAATTATTTTTGTGCAAGGTTTGTTTGTTGATTGCATGAACTGGCATAGGCTGTTTGGAAAATATGTAACAAATTTTAAAGTATGTGATGTTTCAGTGCAACATTAATTGACTTTGCCATCACAAAAATTTAACATGTATCGTTTGCTTTTGTTACACAGTGGCTAAAGTGGAAGTGGATTGTTTAAGGTTTACCTGAATGTGAAACGAGTGAAGCAAATATTGACAATTTTCTTATTTTAAAGGATTGGGGATATTTAGTTGTTTTTATACTCTACTTAAAAGTACTCTTGTATTCTCAATACAATTCTCAGAAACATGTAGGAGCAAGGTCAAATTTCGACTACATTTTCTTAGAGTTCAGAGTTTTTTCTTACCATTTCTGTGCACTTCATCATTGCAACTTTGTTTGAAAGCTAAGTGTGTATTCTTTTCTCTAGCCTCTGATGAGGGGATATGTGATTGAATCGTTCAAGGAACGTAGTTCAAAAAATAATTTTGTTTTAATATTGGTTTATTATTCTTTAGTAGGATAAGTAAAGTTGATTTTTATGAAGAGAATATTTTGAATGCTCATACTCTACTTTTGAAATATTTACATTACATTTCAAGGAAATTTCGACTATTGAAAATAAATTAGATATAAATGCATTGGGCTAGTTAAAAAAGTGTAGTGAAGATTTTCATACACATTTTGTAAAGTTACCATTGTATTATACTCATGCTCCTTATGATATGTGAATTGTATTTGAATATTGACAGTGATTTAGATTATTTATTATAGTAATATTAATAATAATGGCACAACAATCGATTGATATTAACATGCGTTGCAAGGACATTTTCCCTAATGAGTCAATGAGTTTAAAATATATGGTAAGAAAAGAAAAGATTAAAACTATATTAAACAGTAGTTAAAATTCAAAATCTCTATACTCACATGTAAAGATTCTTGAAATATGATCAAAGTTAATTTGTCATTTTATATGTATTGCCTTTACTCTTCAATATTTTCTCAAAGTGTATCAGAATTTCTAGTTGTATATTTATCAGTGATGATTATGATTCCTTACTCTCCTCTCACCCTGTAATTATTATCCTGAACTCATGTATTCTACGATTCATTTAATCTTGCTTTTAAATTGAACTAGCATATGTGGCATTCAGTGTGTTGAGAAAAGTCAAGCTCATATTGTAGTGCTTCCACCAAGCAGCTTTGTTAGCTTCACATCAAGGTTAAAAGATGAATTACAGTGATAACCTCAAGTCAATTTCTGTGGCTTCCTTATTTATTAAAGTTACTCAGTGAATAATTTATTAATGTGCTGTTTAGCAGAAACATATTTAAATGGGTAATTGAGGCTCCAGAATATTGATCTGTGGTCCAAAATGCTACTTTAACAAAAATTTTACATAATTATGAATGCTGAATATCTAAATGAGAGTATGTAAAAATTCTCTATGAAAGTGATCTGCAACCATTACATGGCACATCAATATTACCTATAAAATGTTGGCATTTTATGCACATGTTACATAAAAACACAAAGCAACAACATAAAATGCAAGAATGGGCATATACAAATATAATTTTACTCATTTTTGTATTAGGTATAGTTTGTATTACAGAAAATCTGGTATGTGTAATATTTGTCTAAATTTCTCTGGAACATTTTACTATCTATAACATCGTCATTACTTGATTTAATACCTTTCCTAAACCTCTTGAGAGGCCTGTTTGGAGTGAATACCTTTTCCAAGGCATCAGAATTTAATTTGAGAGTAAACATAAAAGGAAAAATAACGATTGATTGTGGCTGGATAAAAAAGGAGAAAAAATATTCAAATTAAGAAGGTAGATATACAAGGATCTGTATTTGTGTTGCACAGTACATTTGAGTGTAATTTAAACATTGCTGAAATTAAATGTACGGGGAAGAGTATGCCATGTTGAATGATTGTTGTACCTGGTTTAAATTCGAATTATTGCTGTATTGATTTAAAAGTATATTAATCAGGGTACAATAAACGTTATATGATCACACTAAGACTAACCTGGAGACTCCTGCAGCCTTGGTAGACAGATTATCATACCTTAGTTTTCTCTAGACAGCTATGTCACCCTCTACCAAGGACAATGATCTCTATAGTCAAAATATTTGATAATGGGAATGGCCATAGAAACTTTCGATTGCAGCTATACAGCAAATCATGTATTTTCTTATTCTGAGAACATCAACATATAATGGTGCTTCTGGCCTCTGATGTGTATGGTTCTGCAGAAGAGCACATCCAACTCTTTAAGAATTGTTAATTAAAAAATAGAAATGTTACCAGAGAAATTCTTTTTTTTTCCGTCTTTATCTGAAGTTTGATTTTTTTAATATATATATATATTTATTTTTTTAAATTATTATAATATGTTTTGGTGTGTCATCTCATAATGTTACCAATAAGGCATGCATCTAGTACTGTTGGCTGTTTGCACGATGAACAGTTCCAGTAATATTTTAGAATTGTTTGGTTGAGTAAGTTGTTTTATTTTAAGTGTACAACATTTTTTATTTGTTTGAATTGATTTGATCTTGTACAGAGTATGTAATAAATGTATTCTGTTCTATTTTAATGTGGAAATAATTGAAATATTTGCATCATTACAGATAAAATGAAGTTTATGAAATTATTATTAAAATGAAGTTAAAATGTGTTTAATTCTACTTATAAGATACCTATTTTCTTTATAAATTGTTACAGCTATATTACAGAAATCGAATCAAATATTGTCATCTCCAGTGATTCTAAATTTTGTCTTTCTTAGTGAATTTTTTGCCTGTTCACTGAAAGTAAAGGTTCTGCCCTTGCATCTGGGGGTGAAGAATTTAAAAGTAATGGTCATGATGGAGTTAGATGTAGCAGACAAATGTTGAATTGTTTTCATTTGATATCACTCAGTTTTTATGTTTTATAATAAAACTGTTAGTTTTATTCAGTACTTTGAGTTGTAATTTTATGAACCTCATAGCATGTGAATTTTATTATTTCTGTTGGTCAAATTCAGTGATTTAAGGTTCTGAGGTAAAAATGTATTTTTCAGTTCTTTTTATGTATATACATTATTGTATATATGCATTTGGATCTGAACTGTAATTGAAGTTTCAACTATATCTAATTGGAAGGGGCACACTACATTTCAAGAACAGACAAAATGCAAAAACTTGAAAATTATTTGAACTAATGATTTGCAATTGGTATCTATATTAAGTACCTATCTCTCTGTATTGGATTAGAGAAACATTTACTTGAAAATATTGTAATTAAGTGAAGTGTTGAAGTTATGAGCAGATTCGTGTTGCAGAACTTTAGAAACTCCAATCTTTACAGTCATTCTGTCTTCTCATTCCGGTGAAATCATTGGGTAGTAACACAAATTTAGCTAGTGGTGAGGTGCTACAGCAGCACATATGTTCTCCCATAATTTGCAACTTACAATTTTCGAAACTTAAGAGAATTCAGGAAAGTGAAATCGGTGTCATTTTTATTTGCACACTTGTCTCACTAAGAAGAAAATGAAAACATTTGAAGCTGGTTTTGATATTTAAAAAATATATGAATTACTTGTTCTTCAGGTGAAAACTACTTGTACTTTTCAAAAAAATGTATAGACAGATTTTATTTTAAATTCTTATTTTTTAGAATAATTTAATTGTGGAAAAATCTCTAATATAGTTAATTGCAAACTATATTAGAGATTTTTCTACAATGAAATTATTCTAAAAAATATGAATAGTTTACCGAAAATGGAACCTGCACCATTTTCATAAGTGTGAAACTTGCTCAAATAGTTACCTTAAATATGCGATTATCGCAATTAAAGGAGATTTTTATTTGCACCCATTGATTTTTACTTTCTCGTTACTTCTTACGCACTAGAGAGAAAGTTATGTAAAAGTAAGACAAAACTGCGAATTTTCGGCAGCAAAACTCTTTATTTCAGGGCCATGATAACGCAAAAATGGATAAATCCAGTTGCTAAATTTGCCACAAACAAATTCTGTAACATGTGTAGCCAGAATCGGTTTTGTGAGTACTTCATACCGAAAAATTGAAAGACGGTAAAACCTATGTCCGTCAGTGAACAAAGGGGGCGGGTAAGCCGTTTTGCCGATTTTCTCCACAGGTGATATCACCTCGGTATTAGTTTTCGTCGTGATTGTGTAGTGCAAATCACGCCCACAGGTGCCTACCTTAATAAGGTGACTAGGTCTCTAATTTATGTGAAAAATGAAACACTCTGAAATCGGATAACAGAAATGTTTAACATTACATGTCATTTTTGAAGGAAAGTTCTTTCTTACATTTTCTTACCTAAAGACGTAATTCGATTACATTCGGTGTAATGATAATCAAGCCTGTTGAAAGGTCTTTCTTCTGGATATAATACAAAAGAAATTGCTTCCCATAATTCTAAGAAAATCAATTTACATTAGTTTTCGTTTGGCGTGTGTCTCACTGTGTATTTAACCACACCAAGGATGATTTAGAAAAATTGTATAAATACAACAATATGTGGAACAATTAAATGACACTGGCAGAGACATGGATTCAAAATAGAAAACTAAAAATTGACAACAGAAAGGCTAAACCTGTAGCAATGTACGGCTCTGAGTCATGGATGATAAAAGAGACCAAAAAAAAAAAAAAAAAGCAGCACGTATGAGATTTTTGAGACGCCTTGTAGAGTTACAGGAAGGGACGGACTGAGAGAGACATAAACTAGACTCTAGAGGAAATAGAAAACTCTCAAAAAAGGCAAGATCACATTAAAATAATTAACAATAACATGGTCAAAATTAATATGGAAATACAAGTTAGCAGGCAACTGACAATGGAAGACCACGAAACAAGTGGCAACAGCGGGAACAGATAACTTCCAGGAAGATTTCATAAATAATGGAACAGGCAATTAAGCTTAAACGCCAACTGTTCATGATGTACAACACTCCGGCCGCTATCACCCCAAGAAAGTTTCTCAGATTGGTACTCGCAAAGAAAGCCGTCTGAACGAAAATCAGATAAAAATCCCACCTACGTCGGGATTCAAACTTGGGTCCTTCAGGTCGGGAAGCCAGCAAGCCATTATATATAATGCGTGTGTGTTTTACAGAGCAGGAGAAAGTCTTCCACAATCCTACGGGGCCCGCATTCGGCAGCGTGTGGGATTCACAACTAGCCTGTACCTACTCAGTAAAAACCCCTCCCATTGCTCTAGTCCTTTACCGCGGAACCGCCGACAGACATTGCATCACGGAAAGGGTAAATCGACTTATCGCTCTACCTCAACTGATGTCACGGGATACTCCTTCGCGGTCTTCTCCCCGAGGCTTCTTCAAAACTTTTGCGGCATAAGTATTTCCCACACTCCAAGTATTTTGACACCAACATCATATTGACGATCGTATCAGAAGTCACTACCTGCAGGAGGAGTCGGTGGAGTTCTTCCTACCCAACGAAGTGTAAACAGTGAAAAAACACGTGCTCCACATCTTCAACCAATGAGTCACATGTTGAGCATGAGTCATCGTCCTACGGGAAACGGAGTTGGTATGTACGGTAGCACCCAAGCCCCGTTAACTGGGTCAAATAATGATTTACATCCACGTGTTTCCTTTGGGTCCATTTTATTGCGTCAGAAATAACCCATCGCCGTTGCCACTGGGCCAGTGTCTCCTCCCTCTCTTCCTTCACGATGACACTACTATAGTGTCATGAGGTCTATAGGGGGCACGTCAGATATCACACACAGCGTCGTACGAAGCCATGCGAAAAGCCCGGGCCTCCTTCAAGGTGGACTTCGCATTGCTGGCGTACGACTGGATCCCAAAAGCATCAGCCAAAATTGGGGGCTGCGCAGTTAACAGCGCTAGACTAGCCTCCATCTTTGAACCCCCAACGTTAGACATAATGCGTACCAAGGCGGAGGCCATGCGAGACACTTTCTTGCAGACCATTCGCAAGTGCTCGTCGATGTGGAGTCTAGCGTCAATCAAAACTCCGAAGTATCTTAGAAACTGCTGGGAGGCTGATTTACTTCTCCCTACATTGAGAGTAATACCATCTCACTTTTCTGCCTGTCACCAAGACCTCTGTTTTACGCTCGGCCATCTGGAGCCCCATCGTCGTTAGCCACAGCCGGAACGCAGCCACAGTCTCGTTGGCAACCTGCGCGATATCAATATTTTAGTCAATCATTACCACCGCAACGTCGCCACCAAATCCAATAGCCCTAGCGCCTTCTGGCAGCTGGAGCATCAAAACGGAGTCATATATAATATTCCACAACAGTGAGACAAGTACCTAGCCTTGTGGAACACCATCCAAGATACCATAGGTCTTTACACCGATTTCTGTTTCCTATAGTAAGTAACCTTCCTCAAAGTAGTTTCTAACTGTTCAGTATGTAATTCGGAACTCCTTCAACGCATCAAGTACGGAACTCCGCCTTGCCCTATTAAATGAGTTCTTGACACATTTAATTGTTAGTCGTGGGGGCAATGAACTAATTGATCTCCACAGCAAAAGAAAGAACTAATGAATCCTGTATTCCCCTTTACCTACGGTCGCGATTGCAATACCAAGCCCTGCTCTTTCTCGACAGTCGAACAGAAGCAGGCCTACTAAGCACGCCTACTGCTCGCAGTTAGGCCATTGCCCTCTTAACGGGCGCCGCTACCTTGTCTTTTGATCAAAATATACACGTCTGGGAGAAAGATTGTATCTCCCCTCCCAGATCCAGGTTCACCAGGATGTAAACTTTAAACAAGTGGACCTATACAAATCAGCTCTCTTACCTACATCGAAAGGCGTATTTAGTTTAATGTTGCCAACGTTAACATATTATGCACCAGACAACTAATCCAAATGGAAAAAGAAAGCCGATGACTTATTAAGCAGTTTGTGTCGGATATATTGAGATGTGATAATGACTAATAGCAATGATGTGTATAATGACTTGTGACGTATTGTACACATAGTTCTAGTGATGTTGGAACTTCTATCAAGTCTGGAATGAATTCTTTCAATAATACTTTTTGTATTTTGCTCTCTCTTGGAGGAACAATATTTAAAAAATAAAAACAATAAATGCATATGCTAATTTCTCCTGTAAGATTCGGTTGGTGTACCTAGGAATTATTTTGTGGAGGCCTGTATTGATGTTCAGCGTCGTCAACTATTTCATGCCTTTGTATAATTTATTTCTAACTTAAATCACGCGACCTTTTATATCTAAATTAACCTAGGTCTCCGGAGCTGATAAATAGTTGAACTAATAGCAATGGTCGGTGAAGTAGCCTATAGAACGATCCATTTAGTCGTGCGCTTGATGAAAATCAGATGTTGCGGTTTCATCCAATCGGGAGCTTTAACGTCTCCACAATGACGTCACTATGGGGATGTTCAATTCTCTCTGCTCTCGATTGGATGAAATCGTGAACAGGTGTTTTACGTCAACGAGTGCACGAATAAATAAATCTTAGTATAAAGTAAGTTTCTGGTCACAAGTATTGGAAATTGGCGTAATATTAAGTTTTGGGAGATCGCTATACATTTATGAAATTTCAGCTAGCGGTAACCGTAACTGCATAAAAAAGTTAGGTGTCAAGTAGTATTTTACGACGGCAGAGAAACATTATATTCTATAATAAGAAAATTCTTATACGTACGAAACAATTAAAATTGTGAAGAAAAAATACAGAATCTTCGGCGAAACCATAGCATTGGGAGGAAACGTTTTGGAATGTCAACCACAGTGCTCTTATAAAACTGAAAATTCGCCATTACTATGATGTATGCACAAAATATGTCACCAGAGGTAAACTATCTGGCGTTGACCGCTACCAACAAAAGTGATGTACCTCGTTTACGAATGCCATGCTTGAGATGCTTTCACGTTGAAGGAGCTGAGTAAAATATACGCGATCGTTTGTAAGATGA